CAATCCTTTTTTCCTAAGACAAAGTAAAGTAGAGGACAATCCAAGTATATAATTTTTGAGGAAATAGTCTTTGGTTTCAAAGGAAGGTACATCAGTAACGGAGCTAAGCCCATAAAGCATTTCATAGGGGGAAAGGCCAATGTCCTTCCAGGGGGCCATCCTAATACTGACTAGCGCTATGGGGACATTTAGTCCACAGTAATCTGGTCTCTAAGACTAATTTAGTGAGTTGTTGTTTAAGAGTCTGATTCATTCCTTCAACTCTCCCTGAGGAAGGTGGATGCCAGGGAGTATGATATTCCTGTTTGATATCTAAAGCCTTCATAAGGTCATTGACAGTGAAATGACTCCCATTAACTGAATCTATATTTTCTATAACCCCAAACCTTGGGATTATGATTTCTAGTAATAACCTAAGACATCCTTCCTAAGATACTTGTTTGACTAGTATATAGATCCCTGTACCCACAAGCTCATAAAACTGCATCACACATGGCTTGGTGTCCCCAGTGGTTTCCTCGATGGAGATAGGTAAGGAATTCTCTCATTAGGGGCTTTGAGATCATTTCCCTCCCATCAGGGAGAACCCATTTTCCCTGTTCAGTCCTGATTGCCCCAAGATTTTTTTTTAGTTGTTCTTCTTCAAAGGGGGTAAAGATGGGGTGACGTGAGAAGCAGGGAGATGTGGAATGAGACAAATGACTGGGGCCTCAGAGGTGAAAGCAGCCTCTTTTGCTGTCTCATCTGCAAAAGAATTTCTCTGAGTCTCAACGTTTGCCCCCTTTTGGTGACCTGGCACATTGACTATGGCTATTTCTTCAGGTAGTCTTAGGCTCTCCAATATTTTTTGAATTAATTCTCCATGTACCAAGTCTTGGCCCCTGCTATTGATTAAGGCCCGTTCCATACAGATTTTTCCAAAGGTGTGGACCACACCAAATATATATTTTGAATCAGTGTATATGGCCCCTTCTTTGTCCTTTAAGTGTTTTAAGGCCTGATTTAGAGCAAACAATTTGCAATTCTGTGCCAACCAATTGTTAGGGAGTCAGCCTGATTCTATTATAGTCATGGCCGCCCTGTCTAGTATAGAATATCCATTATGCCTTTTTCCCTTGATTACCTGAGAGGATCCATCTACAAAGAGATGGAACCCCAAGATCTGGCCTCACTTTTGTTTGATATTCAATATCTAAACATTTATGTTCAGGGGCTCATCCCTTCTGCATTCCTGACAAGAAAGTGGCTGCATCAGTAGTTAGAGTCAGGTCATCCTTTTCTAGCAAGATAGCCTCATAATTTAGGATACTGGAATCCATCAGCCATCTACCCACCTTCTGATTTTAGATTGGCCTAACTTGATGGGGACTGCTATTAATTTGTTTTTCCCCAAAGGTGATTTTTCTACTTTCTTTGGTTGGAAGGGCTGTAGCTGCTACTACCTGAATATGCTCAGGCCAACCTTGGGTGACAGGATCAAGGAATTTAGATAAGATGGTCACACGTTGACCCCCATGTTTTTGGGTTAGCACCCCAATGGCAATTCCCTTATTTACATTCACAAAGAGATGAAAAGGCTGTTCAAGAGGGCAAGACTAGCAAAGGAGCTGTGATAAGGACTTGCTTGTATTTTTTCCTTTTCACATGTAAACTTCTCTTCCAAATAGGTTGGTATGTGCCTCAAGGACTAGGAGAAATTATATCTTAGTTATCCTGTCTTGGAACTAAACATCTGTTTCTTGTAATATTTTAACTGAAAAGCTTTTTCCCTTTATCCCAGAATTTACTATCCTCTCTGGGGACTAGATTAAGTCTCTGGGCAGAAGACAGAGGGAGGATCTGGAAGCACCTGAGTCAATCAGGAAGGTGACAACTTCATATTGTGGTCCCACTTCTAGATTTATCAAGGGGTTTGAGTGGAACCCTTCAAGATAAAAGAGCCCCTGGCCCCCTATTCTTCATCAAAGGTCATTAAGGTAACAGTTTTGTACACACTCTTTCCCATTCTGGACATTCTCTCTTAAAGTGTCCAGTCTCCCCACATATAAAGCACTTATTTTCTCCTCTTCTTTGTTTCATCTTCTGACTTTCTGGTCTTAGACCCCATGAGGGAGGCTGGGCCGGTTGAGGTCCAATAGAATATGGTTTGGCTTTTCCCTATTAACCTGCTGGATCATCGATAACATAATCTTTGATTTTTGTTTTTGTTTTTCTCCCTTTCTCCTTACATATATCTTTTGTGCCTCTCCTAATAATTCCTCTATGGATCTATTTTTCCAGTTTTCTAGTTTTTGTAACTTTAAGCAGAAGCCTGAGGGGCTGGGAGGTGAATGGGTTGGAGTTGAAGGGGTGGAAGCCTGGATGGCAGGGCTGGGGCCAGCTTTGGCACCTGAACTAGAAGGAAGAGCAGGCAAAAGATGGAGGGAAGGGAGGAGATTAAATCCCAGTTAGAAAGGGGTTTTGGGTTTTTTTGTTTGTTTTTTAAGTGGAAACAGGACTACAGGACTCTGTCTCCAACAGAGGGCATATTCTATCTCTTGAGTGACCGAGCTTTTGTTGGTGCTCAATTAATAGTTAACAGACCCAGTCCCATCAGACCCAAATTTTGGCCCAAAAAAACCCCAAAGGCTTTAAGGTCAGTTCTTGGGTCCAGGTAAAATAATAGTATTTAACCATTCCTTGTTTTTTTTTCCTTTAGTACAGGGGCTATCACCCCCAAATTTTAACATGTTCCCTAAGGGTTTCCCAGAGGGTATTTTATCCTGGGTCTCTGTTTTCTGGCACCCCTCTTTCTTGCCTTTATTCCCCATTTCTCCCTTCTGGTTGACTGTGCTCTATCAGGAGCTCAATCCATCCCCCCCAACTTTGCCTTGGAGGTTTCTTGTACTCTGATTCTTTTCTGCTTTGTCCATCTCCACCCATGTCCTTCTTGGGAGCTTGAGGCACCTCTTGGTAGCCAGTGGGTCAGTATAAGATGCTGACCTGGATTAGATTCAAGAATCTAATTCCACCTTAAAGAGTATGAAGTCACCTCAGAACAGCAGATCAGGACTTTGCTTTCCCTTCATGTCATCCTACACTTCTCATTCACACATCACACAGCTTCCAGTATCCTTACCACCAAGACATTACTTGGTCACCCCCCTGACGTTTCTTGTCTTGGTTTGAGCACAAAACTTATGTGGTCGCCACGGTCCCTGTCTTCAGAGCTGTTTTACCTGCATTGTCAAGAAATTCTGCAGGCCAAGTTCATTCACAGATCTGGAAAGTTGTCCTCAGCCAAACCTCGGCGCTGCCACAATCAGACAGCAGGAAGTGTCTCCCCGGGGAAGGGCTGGGACCCCCTTCCTGGATGGAATGTAAAATCCCAGATGAGTCCCCAAGTTGTTGGAATTGATAACCCTCTGGTGCCAAAAACCGACACACAAGAGACAGAAAATCTTGACAAGGCAATTATCTCTTGAGCAAGAGGGTGCAAGCATGTGCTCACTCCTGCTAAGCAGCATGCAAGCACAATGGCTGACAGTGGCTCCTTACATCCCTGACGCAGTTGTACCTGCCCCTCACCTGGGACTTGTCCAGATCAACGGTTCACAGTCTTTCCTGATTGGCTCACAGGCTTGGGGATGGGTTAGGGCATGCAGAATGGCAGGCTAGGGAGTTGCACAGGGAGCAAAGACCCTTTAAACATGCAAGTCACCTAAGATGGTGACCTGAGGAATTTTTATGTAATCTAAGAGTGTAACAAAAAACGTTGATAGAAAAGATCATTTGTCTTACAAAACTGAATTAAAGAATTCACTCATATCTTAGAACATCATTTTCACTCTCTCTTCCCTAAGCTGTCACACAACACTGGGGACACGGGGGCGAGCTGCCCACAGGGCTCTGGGTGCTGAGGTGGCTGCTCACATCACAAAGAGGACAGAAGCTGGTCCTGGCTCCAGTCCAGCCCCACCCTGCAGCCCAGAAAAGCCAGGGATGAGTGGAGCCAGTGACAGACACGGACTGCACACTGGAGCCATGCAGAAAGCCATGTCTGCCACCTCTGCTTCCTGCCGGTCCCCCGCCGCTGCTCCAAGATCCAGTCTGATATCTCACCATTTCCCCATCTCCCAGCGTCATCCCTAGGTTTCTGAAGTCAGAGGACAAAGAACCGCGGAGGCTGGGATACGTGGAGTTTCTCACAACAAAAGAGCACTTCGTATACGGCGGCTACAAAATAGACTATCACATTTTGGGCAGTGGAGGTCTCCATATATCCGTGTTTCTCGTTGGACAAGCTCCTGCCACAGATCAGCGGTCCTGATTGGCTAATGATCCAGGCCCCTCCCTATTCAAACTTGAGTGACAGAAGAGCTGTCAGCTCCCTGGTTCTGCAGAGCCCAAGTGAAAGATTCCAGACACCTGCCCGCTGGTCCAGGCTTCCTCCCCTTGGATGAACCTGACCCAGCCTTGGGTCTAATTGCATTTACCCAAACCATTCCAGACGTTCCAGACCAGGCACCTACTTCTTACCACGTCTCAGTAACATATTGTCATTTGAATTCAGTACTTTTATTAAGTTTGTGGGGCTGTAGGTGTGGATCAAGTAGTAAAGTGCCTGCCTGGAGAAAAAATTTGCTATCATAAATTAACCAGATATTAATTATACATGTCTTCCTACTCAATACACTGTCTTTCCCTCTTAAGTTAGGATGGATTTTTTTTTTGGTGGTATTGAGGTTTAAACTCAGATTCGCAATTGCTAGGCAGGCTATCTACTGCTTGAGTAACACCTCCAGGCTCCAACTTGGATTATTTGTCTTGCCCATTTTTCAATTCTATTTTGATTTATTCTTACTCTGTATACTACTTTTATATAGGACATACTACAGATATTTGTGTTCTACTTTATTTGTCTAACTCCAGTAACTTTTTTGGTACTGGGATTTGAATGCAGGGCCTACACCTTGAGCGACTCCACCAGCCTTGTTTCATAATTGGTTTTTTGAGATAGGGACTCCCGAACTCTTTGCCCAGTCTGGCTTCAAACTGTGATTCTCCTGATCTCTGCCTCCTGAGCAGCTAGGATTGCAGAGGTGACACACCAGAGATTTGTGACCAGTTAACATCATCTCTACTTCCATCCATGCCTGTAATCCCAGCTACTCAGGAAGCAGAGATTAGGAGGATTAAGGTTTGAAGCCAGCCTGGGCAAATAGTTCTCAAGATCCTATCTCAAAAAAACCCATCACAAAAAAGTCCTGGTGGATAGGCTCAAGGTGTAATCCCTGAGTTCAAGCCCCAGTACCACAAAAAACGTGGACAAAGAAAACAAAGAGAAGAAGCCATACATTTGGTCACATTTCCCAGAGGACTGCACATTCAGAAGGTTAAGCGCATGGTAAACCGAGGGTGAGACATCACTCTTGCTCATCAGTAAAGATTCAGATACGGTCTGATAGGAATTTACTAAGAATGACTACAGCCAGGCTCCAGTGGCTCATGCCTGTAATCCTAGCTACTCAGGAGGCAGAGATCTGGACAATCATGGCTTGAAGCCATCGTGGGAAAATAGTTCACAAGATCCATCACAAAAAGATGGCTGGTGGAGTGGCTCAAGATGTAGGCCCTGAGTTCAATCTCTAGTACTGGAAAAAAAATAACTATAGATGCCCCTCTTACCAAGAAACTCCAGATGACTAGATCTCTGTGCCTGAAAGTGGGACAAAGAACACATGTTGATGATACTGCACGCACACATCAATGGTCAAATACACAAAGCCTTTTCTCCATTTGCATTGTTAAGGATCCAAAAGCATCTTCTCTCTCACTGTCCCAATTGTCACAAATTATACCTGATTACATGTGATTAAAGAAGTTCAAATGCACTTCTCGCCTTGATTTCTGGGAGCCAAACCTTTTTTTTTTTTTTTAACACAACAACATACATACTTTCCTAATTCCCAAGTTTTGAATCCTGACAAGAATCAAGACTTGAGAATCAAACAGCCAAATTTTCTCCTTCCTCCAGTCCTACTTTAGGTTCAGGCATTTCACAACTTGTCCTTTATGCTGACCTTGGGGTTCAAAGTCCTCTGGTCCAGAATCTGATGCCCTCCTCCTCCCACCTTCTTTCTATTCCTGTTTGCTACTCCCTGGAAAGCAAAGAACTCCTCTTCCTCACCCTAGAGGACTTGAGGACATAGCATCTGTCCTCAAGTGTGGCCTTTCCTTCTGCCACACTCTATTCAAATAGGAGTTCCTATCACTTCATCAGTTTCTCCTTTGTAAAATCAGATGTAGAAACAGTGGGGAACTGTGATGTTGAAATTCTCTCACCTCCATTTCCAGCCACTGAGCACAGGGACTGCTCTTTCCTGGGCATTGGGCTTCATGGGGAAGACCTGGGACTCCAGGTGTATGGCCAGATCAGAAACATGGCCTGGGGACAGGTCATGAAGTTTAAATGGCCCCTGCCTGATGCTGAAGACTCAGGAAAATTGGTGTGTGTGTGTAGCACTGAGCATGATATTCTCAGGGATCCCAACCCCTAGTGCCTATCCTCCCTCTGTGCACAAGTTCCGCATAAGGCAGGAGCCACCTGTGACTACAGGTGCCATGCCTTTGGGGATATTCAGAGTCAAGCTTCCCATAGGGCTCCAGGCAGCCAAGGAAGCTGCTCATATCACAAAGTGGATGGACACCTGTCCTGGCTCTAGACAAACTCCACCCTGTGGCCCAGAGGAAGGAGGACCTAGCAGACCTGGACCATGCACTGGGGCCATATGGGAGGCTGCATATGCCACTGGTGCTCCAGGACACCAGCTGAAATCTCTCCATTTCCTGGCTTCCCAGGAGCGTGGCGTTGTGTCTAAGCTCTTGCACTCGGGAACACAGAGCTGCCAAGGCTAGGACACCTGAGGCGACTCACCACAGACACAAGGATGTCATGTGATTCTCAGCCAATAACCACAAAAATGCTCACTCCTGATTGGACATTTTCTTACCAAAGAACAATGATCATGATTTGACAAAGTTCCAGGACATGAACGTAAAGCCTGAGCATGGGATAAGCATCCCCTACTTGGCTGAGGGGAACCAAAATCTCAAATTTTGCTCACAGTCCTTCCCAGCTCGGTCTTCCGACACTGGGGACATGGGCCAGCTGCACGATGAATTCATTTAGCAGAACTTGTCCTGGATCTCCAGAGTAGGCACCTGCTTCTTACCATCCTCAGTGCTTCTCCTCCTTCTCAAAATGGGATCACAATATCCTTATGACATTCCACACACAGTGTCCCAGGAGACATTCCAGAATTACAGAGAAGGTGAGTGCCTAGGACAGGATAGGCCCACTGGAACAGGAAGAGGACCTGATGTCACACATCAGGAATATGGAATGAGGCACATGACCAATGATTTCTTAAACCTTCTCTGTTAATCTATCCATTTTCAACCAAGAAAATAAAAGCATAGTAATTAGGAAATACAACTCTGTGAAGCATGCAAAAATAGAGTAATTTGGCAGCAATATTCTACAAGTAATAAAGAGGAAACAGAAAGCAAAACTTTGAGACAGCAGGCTGTTTAAACAAAGGTCAGAACACAATTGCAAGCACAGGCCAAACACATTCCCAAGCTGCAAAGCCACACAGACTGCTGACAGCCCACGAGTAAATCACTTTCTGGTGATTAGGAAGGAACACCTAAGGGTTTCACTGTGGGAGTCCACCATCCCCTGCTGTCCCTAATCCCAATGTCAAAACTGTTTGCACACCTTAAGGGACTTTCTCACCTGGGTCACTTTTTAGGTGAGAATAAACTGTAATACAGAAACCGTTTCTCAAGGAGATTGTCTAAATGCATCTTTGTGTGACTGCCACAGATTTTCCTCATATGTACAACTTACATGTTGACACCAGAAACTCTATTCATACAGAAACAGATACACCACTCAGAAAACATCACAACAGACACCACCTGAAAATGGACAGCACCCCAATCACATCCTCACCTGGCCCTCCTACTTTCCTCCTCCTCCTCTGCAGTGTCTCAGTCACCACTGTGTAGTTGTTTTGTACATCAGGAGTCCACATGCAGAGGAGGGAAGATGTTCAGGAAGCACCAAGGCTCAAGAAAGCCCTCAGCTTGGAGTCACTCACCTCCACACTCTGCTCCCTCTTGGTTACTGAGTAGTGTCACTCCAACATTGAGGAGGTAAATGAGACAATGATGCTGAATCCAAATCTTTGAATTAGACACCATGAGAGTTCCCGCTTCCATTGCACATTGACTTATAATGTAGATAAGGAAGATCCCAAGACACTTTATATGGATTTTAAACTGCCACATAAGCAATCCTTCAGATTGGGACGATTCCAGCACACTGTTCACTTCATGTGAACACATGCCATGCAACAGGAGTAAATCAATGTGAACTATCTCTGTTTTCCTCTCTCCTCTCCAATTAATGGTTGTCACCAGGATCTCTGTGGTGAGGGAAATTACATATTTTGTGTGCAATCATTTTTACAGCTGAATCACAGTCAACCAAGAAATGCCACAAGCTTTTTTTCCCTTTTTAATCAGATGCAATCCCATTTGTCAATTCTTGCTCTTATTACCTGAGCTATTGGAGTCCTTTTCAAAAGTTGTAGCCTGTGCCCATACCTTCAAGGGATTTCCTGTGTTTTCCTGTGGTACTTTCAAAGTTTCCGGGCATCCATTAATTCCTTGAGGCATTTCTGTTCTCATTGAGTAGGTATTACTAAAGACACTGGGATAACAAGGAGACACACAATATCATATAAAACAACATGAGTAATAGCTCTTGAGTGCTATGCCTCCCTTGAGAATTTTAAGACACGAGAGAACACCATCCCCACATTTAATTCCATCTGCTTTATCCTACACCTTCTTTTTCCTCCACATTTCTAGGAGACAGGATCATTTCTCTATGCAACACTTTCCTCACTGTGCTTCGTTTTCTTTTGTTTGTTTTTAAATGATCTCAGGTGTGTTTTTTTCTTATGTTGCAGTGCTGGCATTTGAACTCAGAGCCTTGTGTTTCTAGGTGAGTTCACTCACTGCTTTGACCACATACACATAATGATTTTTTTTAAATTAAAATACATCATGATGTATGACTTGAATCTGCAACATACCAATATTTGCCATTTGTGTTGTGATATGACCTAGAAAATACACTATAATAGGAGCTAAAATACTTGAGTTGTAAGGCAGAAAACAAGATGATTAGGCATTCCATGTCTGGCAAGGAATCAGAGTTGAATCAATCACATGCATGACCGGTCCTTTAAGGAAAAAGGGGAGTGCTGATGCAAGTGATGACCTCACTTTATTTCATTTCTATATTACATGATTGCTCATCTCACACTGGCCTATTCTCCTGTTTTCTTTCCTCTGTGTATATATGTGTGTGCTTAATTTTTGAAAAACTATACATTAATAACATGCCTATGGTGGCTTGAGGTATTTTGAATCCATTTTGGCACTGGGTGATTGGAATCTAGTTCCAATATTCTACATGTAAATATTCCGTTTTCCAACACCATTTGTTGAAGAGTCTGTCTTTCCTCCAATGTATGATTTGGCTTTTTGTAAAAGATAAGGTGGATGTAACTGTGATGTTTATTTCTAGGTCTTCTATTCTATTCCACTGGTGTAAATGTGGTTTTTTTTCTTGTTGTTGCTGTTGTTTTTTGCCAATGCTTGCTGTTTCTATTACTGTGGGTCCTTAGTATGATTCAAAGTCAGGTGTTGTGATACCTACAGCATTGCTTTCCTTTTGTTTGGTGGTCTGGGGTTTGAATTCAGGGGCTCATGCTTGATAGGTAGGCACTCTTACCACTTTAGCCAGTCCATGAGCCCTTTTTGTGATGGGCTTTTTTGAGATAGGGTCTCACAAAGTATATGCCAGGCCTGACTTCAAACCACAATGCTCCTGATCTGTCTCCTGAGTATCTAGGATTGTAGGTATGAGCCACCAGTGCCCGGCTATGGTACACTGCTTAGAGTACTTTAAGGATAGGCTCACATATTATACTTACACTTGCAAATTGGGTTAACATGACTGATTCCTTTCTCTTTTGTATCCCCTTCATTGTTTCCTCTTACCTTAACGCTCTGGCTAGGAATTCAAGCTATGTTTAAAAATAGTGGCTACAGGGAATGCTTTTTCTTCTTTGGAGGAATTCATGATTTTTTTTTCTTATTCTATCTTTTATTACTATTTTTACATTGCATTATTTTTACTTTTATCTATTTCTTTAGTTTTAGTCATTCTTGATGTGTTTGTTTCTTTGTTTTATGGATGGGTTTGAACTTGGGCTTCACACTTGCAAATCGGGAACTTACCACTCAAGCCACACCTCCTAATCCATTTTGCTCTGGCTACTTTGAAGATGGGCTCACTTGGTTCTGTTAATAATTCTTGTTACATGCTGTTAGATGGAAGCTACTATTTGATGAGGATTTTTGTATCTATGTTCATGAGCACTCCTGGTTTGTGGTGTTTGTGTCATGTAAAGTGTCTGTTTAGTTTGCTCCTGTGGCAGTGGTGATTCATAGTGTGGAATATTAAGTGTCAACTATGCTTCTATTTCCTACAAGACACTGCAGAGTATTCATGTCATTTCTTCTTTAAATGTTATGCAGACTAAACTACTGGGACAAACCAGACCTATTCCTCTCTGCCTTGGGCAGTTATTGCTCACTGAGCCAATATATTTAATACCTACTCTGATTCCTATTTTCTCTCTCCTGGTATAAGTTTTGGTAGATTGCTTCTTCCCATGAATTGGTTCCTTTTCTCCAGGTCATTAAATTTATGGGCATGAAATTGTTCATGATGTCCTTTTATGGCCATTTTCAAGTCCATGCTATTGTTATCAGTGCCTCTTTTTCATGAGCACAATTAGTAGTTTGTGTCTTCTTTTTCTTTACTTATCTTCCCTAAACAGATGGTCTTTTCAGTAAAGAATCTTTTGGTCTACTGACTTCCTCTGTGGTCTTATTGACATCTTTACGAATCATTATTACCCTCTACTTGATGTAGCATTGTCTCCATCTTCTTTCACACTTTCCCTGAAGTAGATCATTTTAGGTCTTCCTTGTCGTCTAGTATATTAGTTTCTTCCTTTACATATGTTCCTAGCACTGTGTTCTCTGAATTCTATGAATTTTGGCAAGATGTGTGTTCATTTTTATGTATTCTCTGTGCTTTTTTTTTTCTAGCAGCAGTAGATTTTGACCTCAGGGCACCATGCTTCCCAGGCATACAATCTACCACTTGGGCTGTTGCAGCACTCTTTAACATATGTATTCTGAATAATTTTCTGCTTTAATCTCCAGTTGTTTGGAGGTTTTCCAACTGTTCAATTCCAGTTATGTTTTAGTATTGTCTGAGAGAATACTTCATGTGATTTCTATTCCTTTAGTTTTCAAGGTGTGTTTTGTAGCTCAGAGTGTGGTCTGTGTGGGCGAATGTGCGCATGACCTTGAGAACAATGTGTACTCTTTAGTTGTTGGATGTGGTATTCTGCAATATCAAATGGCTCCAGTTGATGGGTAATGCTGTTCACTTCCAGTACACCATTACTGACTTTGTTTCATCTGTCAATGACTGACACATGTGCATTGAGATCAGCAAATACTGTTGTGCAACTGTAATGTTCAGTTCTGTGTGTTTTTCAGTCATATACTTTGATCTAAAATTATGTGGGTAACAGTTAGGGGTTGTTATGTCTTCTTGGAGAACTGCCTGCTTTATCATTATTCCATCCCTGTATTCCTTCTATTGTCATGAGCTTCTACTTGCTGATTGGGTTGTAATTATAGCTTGTCCAAGTTTGAGTTAGTGTTAGAATTCTATCTCTCTGCATAACTTTATATCATCAATTCTTGACATTATTTTTATTTTAAAATATTTATATCCTAATCAAAATGTAATAAGGCCATAATTTAAAACATGATGTTATGAAATATATATACATCACAGAGTGATGAAATTAGGCTCATCACCAGATACAGTACTTCTCATATGTATAATTTCATTGTGATTAGAGTACCTACATTGTATCAGGACATCACTGGCTCACTCAAATAATCCCAACTTCTCAGGAGGTAGAGATCAGGAGACTTGTGGTTTAATGCCAGCCCAGGCAAAAGCTTCACAAGACGCTATGTCATAAAAACCCATCACAAAAAAGGGCTGGTGAAGTGACTCAAGGTGTAGGCCCTGACTTCAAACTCCAGACATCAAAACAAACAAACAAAAAACCCTTATATTCTAATTCTTTAGTGATGTTCTGAAGTATTGTTATTACACTGTCATTAATTATAGTCACTATACTGTGTAATAGATCTGCTGAACTTGTAACTCCTATGCAAATGATATTTTGTCTTTTTTTTTTTTTGGTGTACTGAGGTTTGAACGCAGGGTTTCTTGTCTGGTAAGCAGGTGCTCTACTATTTGAGTCACTGTCACCCCTGTTTTGTGTTGGGCATTTTTGAGACAGGGTCTCTCATTATTTGCCCAGGCTGGTTTCAAACAGTGATCCTCCATCTCTGCCTCCTAAGTAGCTAGGATTACAGGCATGAGGCACTGTTGCCAGGCTTGCAAGTGATATTTTTGAATCTTTTGACTAGTATCATTTCAACTCCTTATGTCTTTATGTGTAAAATGATTCCTCATGAAAACATCAGAATTGGCTTTTTTTTCTAATCAACTCTATTACTGTTATTTAATTGGTGTATTTTGATAGTTCACATCTTGAAATAATTGATAGATTAGTACATACATTGCATACTGTAGCATTTTATTTAATTTTGAGGTACTGGGGTTTGACCTCAGGGCTTCATGCTTACTGAACAGGTGACTACCATGTGAACCATGCTTCCAGCTCTTCTAATGCTTTTTACTGAGTCAGTTGATGGCTGAAATTTATTGTGAGAACCTGGTAGGGTTTTTGGAGGTGAAATTCTCAAATATATGATGTCCTGTACACCTGAATCTCTAGATTTTACCTCTCAAACTACTGGAGACTTGGATTTCAGCAGTTCACCAGGTACAGTTCCAGTTTTCCTTTCCCTGCTCTGCTTATGAGTTTCTGTTCCTGGAAGCTATGATTCCCTGGGTTGATTTCTTTACCTTGCCAGTTTGGACAGCTGCTTGCCTGGTAAACTTAGTCGTTTGGGGTTTTTGTTTAAGTTCCCCATGTATTTCTGCACTGTCATTTTATATAATTGAGCATTATATAGGATTCCCTTTCCTCAGTTCCTGAATGTTTGTAGACTCCCCAGTGTTAGCAGTGTTCATTTACAACTACTCTAAATCCAGATTAAAATAACACTATGTGCATCAGGGCAGGGTAGAGATCATTGAATGTTCCCAACTCTTGCTTCTCACCCTGTTCACAATCAGTACTGGTTTTGTGTATGATGGTGTATCTTAATTATGTTTCTGCCATTTTTCATTAAATTACATTCATTTAGCTTACTCTGCAAACTAATACTTTTTTTGGTGTGAATGGAGTCTGAAGTCAGGGCTTTGAAGTTGGAAGACAGGCACCCTACAGCTAGAGCCACGCCTCCAGTGAATTTTGCTCTGGTTATAATGGAGATTGGTTTGGGGAAACTATTTACCTTGGCTGGCCTCAAAACTCCATTCTCCAGATCTCAGCTTCTCAAGTAGCTAGAATTACACATGTGAGACACTGGCACCTGGCTAAGCTAATACTTTTACATTTTATGTAC